CATCTCAGAGTTATATGTATCTTTTCATACACACAGAGTTGACATTATGTTTTAAACAACTTTTCTTTGTATTGCAGTTGTTTTAAATTGCTTTATAGTGAAATGAGTTCAGTTATGTTGAGTTGAGTTGAGCCAGGTAAGTTCTTTTGATTCTTTTCAAGCCTATGTTGTATTAACATTCCAACTCGCATACTCGTACATTTAATGTATTGATGTCAGTTGGCCTGCCTTAATATGATGCAGACACAAGTAAATAGGATTAACATCCAGCGCATCGTTGATCCAGTGAGCGGTTCAGAGTCTGTTGGTGAGCCTCTTTACATTCAACAGGACTCTTTTTATTGATTTCAGTTTAGTATTAGTTCATTAGGATGTCGTGGGCCTGTCCCGACATCCATCTCAGTTGTTTTGAGGCTTCATAGACAGACAATCAGTTAATTATTTCAATTGTCTTTACTTTTTCATTTCATATGTTAAAGACTTGAGTTTGCCTTAATGGCCAGTTGAATTTTCCTTTATAACATTCTAGTTACTTCAAAAATGTGTATGTGATGAGTTAAGTCTTCCCCTGAGTAAGTAAGTCAGGCCAAGGGTTCGCTTGGGTCAGCAATGGTTTTCGAGTGCCAGTCCTGCTCAGGGTGTAGGCTCAGGGCGTGACAATCAATTATCTCTGCCATTACACCTTAGCACAATGCTTCATTCACACACTTGAAAGTCAAACCTTTTCTCTAGCTCAGTTACCTCTATCCTCCATCAGATATGATGAAATGTCATAATTCCAAGGAGTCCTATTATATTCTAGGTGTTTTGATGATCCTCACAAATATAAGGACCCGGTCCCTGGCATAGTGCTCTCGTTCAAATTCATCATGGGGTACAACTGTAAAATTGTCATGTTAAGTGGTGGGTGAACAGTGCAGTGTACTGCACCAATAAGAAGAGTGGACGAGATTGTTTGTTTCAGTGGCTCAGAACTGTAGGGATCCGGTCCCTGGCAGAGTTCTTTCCATCTGATGCATAATGATGTACAGTTGTAAGGTTGTCTTGTCAGTAGTAGGTGAGACACCAACGTACTGAACCAATCAGAATGGAAGAGGTTGTTTGTCCAACGGTTAATAACTCTTTATGGTTGATACTTTCAACATGACAAATAACATATTAAGTTCATTCATTCAAGAAGAGAGAAAGCTAGCAAGTCTTTTTCAAGAACTCAAGCATCAACAAACGCAGCAAGGACATGGTCCCTGAAAGTTTGCATACGAGAAAAGGATGAAAAAACAGCTGTCAAAAGGCTGCCAAATCTGATGTGGTTGGTGCACAGCCTTTTATGACAGTAGGCTTTCAACCAATGGTCTTATCCCAAGGGTTTGTGTCCATTTTGATATAGTCTCTTCTCCCACAACACAAACTCAAGATTTGGCAAACAAAAATTGGATTTTCTTTAAAAATTCATAAGCTTGAATAGAAGGCCATCTTCAAGGTAGAACACTGCTCAACTCAACAAAGGGACATGATAGAGTGCTGAAGCGTCTTGGTTGAGTTTGAGTTTTGTGTCGGTTTTTGCAACTTGAAAATTCTCAAGAACACTTGCAAAGACTCACTTTCAAGAAGTATTCTTCGGCAAGCATAATAATGACCTGATCAAGCTGCAAGCATCAAAGTGTGTCTTAGGAGTTATGCTTCCGTGCATATATTGTAAATTTGTTCCTAGTATATAAAGGATTTAGATATTTGTTTCGGTTTCTAAAATCCTAAATCAGTTGAGTTTAACTGGTTTAGTGGGCAACATTGTTTTGCTGCTTAGTCAAATTCTAAGTCATCTAGGAGCTAGTTGATTTAGTGGGCAGTGTGGTATCCGCTTAGTCAAAGTCTAAGTTATCTAGGGGTGATAGCTTAGTGGGCAGTGTTGTATCTGCTTAGACTCGTTAAGTAATAGAGGTATTACTTAGTTGTGAGATTAATAACTTTTTCTAATCACTTTGGTTGTAACTAGGTTTCACTTTTGCTTGAAGAGATTAGTGGAAACAGTTGAAAATCCTGTGTGACAGGTCGTGGTTTTACTCCCTTGAGTAAGGAGGTTTCCACGTAAACTGCTTGTGTTGTGTTTTTCTTACTATTTACTCTTCTGCACTGTTCTTGTTGTGTCAAGGGACTTGGTCCGTTGACTGATAGTGGATGCACCTATTTTAACAATTAGTATCAGAGCGGGGGCTCTCTAACTGGTTAACACCTAGAGAGAATCTTGTGGAAGAATGGTTGATCCACTAAACGTGAAAGTACTGACAATGGATTCCTTTATTAGAAATCTTCAAGCCCATGAGATGAGCAGAAATTAAGAAATGGCAAAGAAGGAAATAAAGAGGGACAAGTCACTAGCTCTCTAAGTGACTTCTGGTGATACTTCTGAAAATGATGAAGACATGGCAACTCTCACTAGAAGATTTCAAAAAATAGCGAGGAAACATGGAGGTTTTAAGAAAACATAGAACTCCAGCAGGGCTGCTAATGCAAGTGATGTATGCCACAAGTGTGGAAAACCAGGGCACTTCATCACAGACTGTCCCATGCATGAACTTGAATACAAAGACTATGTCAAGGTTGGAGGAGATAATGAAAAGAGAAGGGACCTAGTTCCTGATAAGAGTGGAAGAAAAACAGTTGCCCACTATGTTGTGAAGAAAGCCCTTGCAGTCTTGAAAGACACCTCAAGTGACTCAGAAGAGTCTGAACATCCTGAAGATGCCTCCATGCTTGCAGTAAAAGATGATGAAGAAATGTCTGACTCTATGTTTGCTTTCATGGCATAGTCAGATGTTAAAGATGATAATGAAGAGGTAACCCTATATGACTTTAAGCAAAATGTGAATAGTTTTTCCATTAAAAAATTAAGAAAGCTAGTTATTGTACTAATTGATTCGATCAGTGAGCTAATCACGGAGAAAGATATCTTGAACAATAGCCTAGATACCTTTCAAGATGGAAAAATTGCTTTAGTTACCCAAATATCTGATATTGAAAAACAAATGGTTGTTCTAGAAGCTGAAAATCTAGAACTAATGGAAAAGATAAAAAAAGTGATTACTACAACTTCTAAAGGAAAAAACGAGGCCAACAGTTTGCAGCTGGAACTTGAAAATAAGTTGCACACTGCTGAAATGAAGATGAACTTGGCTCTAGAAAGAAATCTAGTGTTGGAGATGGACACGGTTTGTGCAAAAGAGGAACTCAACAAATCCCTCAAATGGACCACTTCCTCTAAAAAGCTTACAAATGTAATCAGTTAGGGTAACAACAATAGAAAAGGGCTGGGTTGTGAAAAGATAGATCCCCCATACAGTCCTCACAACAAATCTGTTTCTAATGTTGATGATCTGTTGTGTGTGCATTGTGGTCAAGATGGAATCTAAGAGAGATTTTCCTGTGTTGAAAAAGTATGGAGGAAGTTCGTCAAACTATTCGAAACAGCGGAATAGACTGTAGAAAGGACCTGGTCCTGCTTATGGTCCTAAGTTGAAGAAAACATGTATGCCTCACTGGACAAAAGACTTTTTATCACTCCGTTATCTGCTTACTGGGAACCCCATCTCAAATAGGTTCCCAAGTCTAAGAAGTGATTTTCTATGCAAGTGAGAGGAAGTAGTAACAGTCAGTGGTGGATCATGAATTGCGGATGCTCAAAGCACGTGACTCGAAAAACTGAAAACTTTCTCTCTCACAAGACATTTCAATGTGGAGGTGTCTCTTTTGGCAATGACAAGAAATGGTACGTTTTGGTGTAGGCGGGATTTGAAAGTCCGTGAAACATTCATTTGAAGTTGTGTATTATTCAATGGGTTGAAGTACAGTCTTCTAAGTGCTTCACATATTTGTGATATAAAGGAAATAAAGTCAAGTTCCGATCAGATAAATGTGTGGTCACAACTTGATCTCCCGAATGATGATGCTGACAAGAAGGAGATGCAAGAACATGTACTATTGATCTAAACATTGCTCGTTGTAATATTCTCACTTCCCTTAATGCTCAAGGTACCTGGTCCACAGTCTACACAAAATGAAATTTGCAGATGACAAAGGATGTGACGTTGCCATCCTTCAGGTGGAATATCAAGCTTTTAGTCTTCCAAAGAACGTTCGGGCAAAAGTGGTGAATGGTATATGTTTGTGACCAAAATGACGTTGTTGAGAAGATTGATCTCAATGATGTTGAAAGAGTATTTCTGGGATATTTTTCCCATAGCAAGTCTTATTCGGTATATAAAAATGTGTGCATTGAAAAAGATGTTCATATGATTTTTGATGAGTATGGAAGAATTGAGAAATTGTAAAACAAAGAAAATTCTGAGATGGAAGAGCTGCTTCAGATTCGAAGAGATGGTCTAAACAGTGAGCTTGCTGAAGAATATCCTCTTCATGAATCTACCAATCTCAAAGAAGCTAATGCAAATGATGAACATGATGAGAGACCTGGTCCAGTAGACAATGCTGAACAAAGATGATGTTGTTCAAACTGATAATGTGAATTGTGAAGGTGAGAATGCAGAAGGTGATCAAGCTTAGTTTGAAAGAAGGAAAGTCTGCCACTTGGTTCCCGACAAGCTGACAGGTTGTCCAAGTTCCTCTTCAACAATGGTTTCAAAAGAGGTAAAATCAGCAAAATCCTCATTTTGAAATCGCAAGGAAATGACTTGCTGACTATTCAAGTATACATCGATGTTATCATCTTTGAAGCAACTTCTAAGGTGTTGGGTGAAGAGTTTGTTGCACTCATGAGTAGTTAGTTGTGAAGTGAGCATGATGGAAGAATTAAGTTTCTTCTTGGAGCTGTAAATCAAGCAAACTTCTAAAGCTTTGAAAAATGGAAGATCAAGTGGCTGACATCTTCACCAAAGTCCTAAGCAGGGACCAGTTTTTCAAGAATAGGGAAATGGCTTGGGAATAAAAAGGAGAATTCAACTGTGTATGTTTCATTTGGGAGTGAGAATTTCTTAACAAAGGAAGAAATGGAAGAGGTTGCTTATGGATTAGAGCTTAGCAATGTTCATTTCATATGGGTTGTAAGGTTTTCAAAAGAAGAACAAGTCGTAAGCCTTGAAGACGTACTTCCTCAAGGTTTTCTTAAAAGAAATATCGGAGAAAAGGGAAGGATAATTGAATGTTGGGCTCCACAGACAACAATTCTAAAGCATCCAAGTATTGGCGCATTTTTAACTCACTGTGGTTGGAATTCGACTCTTGAAGCCATAGAGTTTGGTGTCCCAATCATAGCGCTGCCTATCAGAGGCGTATTCAGGATTTCGGCTAGATGGGTGCACGATTTTGAAAAATTGTATCTTAAATATACATTTGATCGATTTGACTTTTATTTCTTAATATGAACCATTAGATTTTAAAAATTATAAGTCCAAAATATGTAATACTAGTTTTAAATTTTAATATACACATTTGATTTAATTACATAAAAAAATGCACAGTGCTAAATTTTTTAGGAATTTTCAATGTAACACTTGAAAATTTTGAAAGATTAAAGAAAAAAACAAAAGCAAAATTAGTTGAAACGTCAAAAGTGTAACTGATAACCACTTGTAAAGGTGTTACTCAAAAAGACAAGATAGATATAAGATTTAAATCTTTATCCTCACTTAGAGATGTGCACCCAATCATTATCGTATTATTATATGATATTTTGAACATGGGTTCACACATCTATATTTAAATATTTTTTTAAAAAATATAACACTACTATATATGACCTAGAGGGGGAGCATGGGTTCACGTGAACCCACGGCACCCCCTCTAGATACGCCTCTGCTGCCTATGAACTTTTACTCCGATCAGCCTCTGAATGCTAGATTGATTGTGGAAAATGGTGTAGCTATTGAGATGGCTAGAGATGGAAATGGGAAGATTCATAGAGGTAATGTAGCTGAGATTATCAAAGACGTGATTTTTGGTGGAAAAAAAATTGGGGAGGATTTGAGGAGGAAGGTGAAAGTTCTTCGCGAAAATATAAAATTGCTAAGAAAAGAAGAGATGGATGAAGTTGTTATGGTGTTAAAACAGATTTGTGAGAAGAATCAGTCAAAGATGGATGCTTGATAAAGAGATAACATATGAATGAACTAGTGTTATCAGCACTACTTCATATGAATAAACTGTTTCTATTTGTTAGATAATAGATTGCTTGTTCTGTCTGCGAGTTAATATCTTAAAAGGTCAATCAACTATAAGAATTGATCTAGTTAAGTCATTGAACTTTGTTTTGTATCAATAAAATTACTCCATTTAAAATGTTTTATCTTTCAAAATTACTTAACTAAATTTTGTTACATAACAGTGTGTGTACTGTGTTGTGTCTAGAAGTAGCCTTCACAGGAGATGCATTATCAGATTTTTTATTAATCCCACAATTTGAAATGAATGTGGAATTTATCTTTTAAAACATGAATATGATACTCTTAAACCTTTGTATATTCCTACTCGTTTTACTTGATAATTTAAACAACTCACTAGATAACAACTTATGCAAAAATTGGTTGAAATATTGTGCAATAACATTTATTTCATCATAATTTTTAATCTTCATAACTGGGAATATACAAGTCATATTTATTGTCTTAGCAGTAATATATATTCAACTCGACAGCTCGCGTTGGACACCCTATTCAAGGCACATGTGTTCAGGGAACATAATAGAGTAGTAGACGCCTTAGCTAAGGATGGCGCAAAGAACACAATTTTTGATGAACCAAAGATTTTGCTTGTTCCTCCACTGTTTGCACACAAGGAAATTGAAGCAAACATCTTAGGAACTAGTTATGTTAGGAAAATTATCTCGAATTATGGTATTTGCCAGGGCGGGGAAGGGGTATACTACAAGAAAAGTGTTGATTACATGAGGATTTCTGGAAATTTTATACAAAAATCTGCAGCAAACTAATGAAGAAATAAAGAGTGAAATAAGGGCGTTTATTAGGCACATAATGCCACCAACAAAAATAGAAACTGTTGCACTAAGATAATACAACGCATAAGGAGTTACTCACACTCAATTGCCCACCAACTGCTGAAAATAACAGCAACTAAAAGATGGGAGGTGCAGCACCTTTGTACTCCAGAATAAGCAAATTAATATTACAGAAGAATAATATTAAAATGCTAATAAACCAATAATTCTCCACTCATTTTAATATTATATAAGAGAATTTATATATCAGTTAAAGGAAGACTACTATGTATAACGAAGATATACTTTGCATTGAACCTCCAGTTAGTAAAATTGTAACTTTTACGTTAAAGTTTTAGTGATCTCAGACTTAAACTATGACTGTTAATGGAAATAAAATATCACTGCTCACACATAATAATCAAGGTGTTGGCATGAGTTTTAAAAGTCGGCACATTACAGCCTTGTGCTATCCCAGTATTATGAGTGTTTTCGAAAATAAATCCAGTTCTCATAGGAAACAGCCTACTTACTTCTATACTCACATAGGTAAAATATATCGATAGTGCTCCGATAAGAATTTGATTCAGGAAGAATCAAAGATTCCAATGTTAGATGGAATCCGGCCAGCTGTTGTTCCAAATTTGCACAAGGACATCCTTTGTTCTGTGCTTCTGTTTTCCCCCTTTTTTTCTTAATTACCTCACCTGCAATATTCTTTTTTTATATTATATTGTGATTTAATTAAACATAAATTACATATTACAAAATTTATTTATAAAATAATGTTTTTAACATGTTTTTTCTTTTTTGGAAAAAGGACATAAACTCCGAATTATCGTAAATGATATGCAGATACCTTCAATCATATTTTTGGGACATTGATGCCCCTGCCATCTAAAAACTAGAGCATATATACCCTTTATACTAACGGACATACACGTGTCATAATCTTATCCACCGATTCGACCGATAAAATTGCACCACGTATCCCTATTTATCTTCCGTTAGAGTGAAGGGTCTATATGCTCTAGTTTTTGGACCGCAAGGGCATCAATATCCCAAAAATATGATGAAAGGTATCTGCATACCATTTATAATAGTTCGAGAATATATTTATCCTTTGTCCCATTTTTTTTTAAATCCGAGAGACTAGTTACAGGAGGAGTGATCCCACATCATCCCATCGCAACCATTGGTACTTAATCACCTTCTACTTCCTTCCTCTTTCATATATAATAAAATATTAAAATTTGTCAATTTCAGAGTACATTAGTAAACTTTTTTTTTTAATTAATATAAACACATGGCTATGGTTGTGGTAAGCAAGAGATTAGTGACTAGATTAATAAGGATCTACACAAGTCATGTCATTGGTAAGTTGTGAATTATGATTCATCAATTTTTAAGACAAAAAATGATCAAACTAGATTATGCCTAATCCTGGTCCTATTTCTTACCTAAACTATTTTTATCTGACGTAGTTATTCCTTTTGAGTAACTTTTTTTTTTTGTTATTATGATAATAAGAATTCAGGTAATTTGATTTATTTGTAAGCTGTGAACATTTTTTTAGTGCAGAAATACTAGACTATGTATGTGTAAGCTTGTCAAATTTATCAGATCGAGTGAATATGCTAAAGTCGTCGTTACTACTGCACCATAAGATATTATTCATAACCATCATCATCAGTCAATATAGTTCCAAATTAACACATATAATCACCATCGTTAATCATCACCTTCATCAATTGTCGTATAAATTTTTAAAATATTATATTGATATAATATTACATTAATTTAGTATTTTATAAACAAAGACAAATTTTATGATTACATTGTGATTATGAGAAAACAAACGGTCTTAACTATTTTGTATTCAAATCTTAATTCTACATCTTAATATTCAAATGTGTATTCGAATTAAAACCTCTAAAATTTTAATGCATATTTTAATATTCAGATGTACATTCAGATTCAAACATCTTAGATTGACTTTTCATTTTTGATTTATTTTTATCATTTTAACTTGAAACTAAGTGCTTACACCCACTTTTTAAACTTTCTCAGATAGTCCAAAAGTGCTTAAAAACTATTTTAGCTTAAAATCACTTAAAAATAAGCTAATCCAAACACTTAAAATAAGTTGATCATAAAGAAAACAAATGAAGTCTAAACTACTTTGTTGTATATTTATAAAATGGAAAAATTACGTAGTAAGCTAACATGTGATATGTATTTACTATACACCACTATAGTTTAAAAGAATTACAATTCGTAGCTATAGTTAGGATTTTATAACAACTTATGCAAAAATTGGTTGAAATATTGTGTAATAACATCTATTTCATCATAATTTAATCAAGAACGCAGTTTTTGATGAACCAAAGATTTTGCTAGTTCCTCCAACTGTTTGCACACAAGGAAATTGAAGCAAACATCTTAGGAACTAGTTATGTTAGGAAAATTAACTCGAATTATGACCATGATATTTCCTGGGCCGGGAAGGGATGATAAATAAAGAAGATAATAACTTAGATATTACATAAATTATAAGGTTGGAGAAATAAAAAGTGAAATAAGGATTATTAGGCACATAATGCCACCAACAAAAATAGAAACTGTTGCACAAAGATAATACAACACATAAGGAGTAACTCACACTCAATTGACCACCAAACAGCTGAAAATAACAGCAACTAAAAGATACTCCAAAATAAGCAAATTAATATTACAGAAGAATAATATTAAAATGCTAATAAACTAACAATCCTCCGCTCATTTTAATATAACGTGCTTCGCACATTTATCTCAAAAACTTAATCTAACATATTGTAAATGATAAATTTGGTATAATATATTATATGACTTTTTTTGTGCTATGAATTCAAAATCAAAGCATATAAAAAGAGTAAAAACTAAGTTATAGAGTCCTCTACCAACATGGGCTGTGGTGCACTGGTGGGAGTGTTTCACCCTTAACCAGAGGTCTCGGGTTCGAGCCATGAGTATGGAGAAAATCCTATTGGGAGTGCCACAACCGAATGTGCCCTACAGAGCGCGATTCAGATTTAATCGGAGCTCCAATGTGGGGTCCGAACACCGGGTGGAAAATTAAAAAATTTAAAAAGTCCTCTAAGTCTATCAATGCTTACTTTAATATAGATACACAATTGATTATAACTGAACTATTTCAAAATCTCTTGAGACTTATCATTTATCTTACAACAACATACATACACAAAGACTTTATGAAGATGCTAAAATTTTATACTAAGTTATCTAACATAATGAAAATACTTGATTTCCTAAGTCCTTATGCTCTTGTCTTCACTAATAAATTGTCTTTTTTTGTTTTATTTATCTCTTTTCACCTAATTGGAAGCACTTGTTTGAACCATAAGTTTCTATATTTATAGTAGTAAATACTGACTTTTTGTATACATTTGATAATTATCACTACGAATTTGGTTAATGCTATTTAATAAAATATTAAATGCAATTTTTAAAATTCTTCTCTTTTTATTGCACTGGTAATAAAAAGTTATAGGTGTTAAAAATGTAATAGAAGTTGGATAAACCTCACATAAATATGGAGGCATACATTTAGATTTCATGATAAATTATATGTAAAGACTATAAAATAAATTAGCTACGAAATGACAATAATTCCAATAAATCAATACACCTTTACATATTTTTTTAATAACTATTATTCTTGTAGGTCATACATCCTTACCTATGTTATTAATAATAACTATTATTTAGAATATTATCTTTTCCTATTTCAACTATATCATTGATTTGATTTTTTAAGTTTTTACGGTTACAAGAGTAACACTTATGACATAGTGTTTACTCATAATATCGTAATGAATTAGATGATTAACTGATCACTTTGTAACTTACAAATTGATATGGTCACTTTATAACTCTTTAGTTTGTAATGAAGTTAGGAGGTGAAAAGGTTATAAAAGTGTTGTAATTAATTAATATTTAACTTATTAGATATTTATTTAAAAAAATTGAATCAAGATAGGGATAAAATAATATTTCAACTTTTACTTTTGTGGCTTCCCACTTTTAGTATAATATGATATGATATGATGAATATGATATAAGAGAGTTTATTAGCTAAATGTATGCTCTGTATTGAACCTCCACTTAGTAATAGGGGCGGACTCATGTGGGGTTCAAGGGTTCAACCGAACCCTCTCGATAAAAAATTACACTGTATATATAAAGTAATTTTTTTGTACTTATGTAGATATATTAATTGTAAACCCCCTCATCCCCTCATGAACAAGAAACAAGTTGTGTAGTGGTAGAACTCCTTTTAAATTCAACATGCTAAAAGAGTAGATTTAAACCCAAAAAAATTCATTGTGAACATTTTCTTTAGCTTCTCTTCATTTTGTTTCAGGACCAATCTTTCACGTTTTTTTTAAATGTGCTAAAAGAGTAGATTTAAACCCAAAAAATACGAACGTGAAAGAAAATTCAAACGTGCTAATTGGTCTCTTTTAATGAAACTAACTTTTTGTACTCGTAAAATATATACTACTACTTTTTAGTATTGTGTTTTGTTGGCTTATTCACACGTTTATACTTTTATTTTTCAAACCCCTAATAAAAATCCTGAATCCGTCACTGCTTAGTAAAATAGTAACTTTTACTTTAGAGTTATAGTGATCTTAGGCTTGAACTATGATTGCTTAAGAGAAATAAAATATCACTGCTCACACATAATAATCAAGGTGTTGACATGAGTTTTAAAAGGTGGCAGATTACAACCTTTTGCTATCTCAGTTTTATGAGTGTTTTTGAAAATAAATCCAATTCTCATAGAAAACGGCCTACTTCCACACTCACATAAGCGAAATCTATCAAACGTTCTTCCGTAAAAATTTGATTCCGGAAGAATCAAAGATTCCAAATTTGCACAAGGACATCCTTTGTTCTGTGCTTATGTTTTCCCCCCTTTTTTTCTTAATTACCTCACCTGCAATATTCTTTTTTGATATAATATTGTGATATGTATTTACTATATATCACTATAGTTGAAAAAAATTACTTCCTCTGTTCCATTTTATATGAGGTACTTTGACTCGGCACGAAGTTTAAGAAAGAAATGAAGACTTTTAAAATTTGTGGTCCAAAATGAATGATAGAAATTTGTGTAGCTGTAAATCATTTCATTAAGGGTAAAATAGACATTTTATAGCTAAATTGTTACTTAAAATAGAAATGTGTCATTCTTTTTGGGACTGATTAAAAAGGAAAGTAAGTCATATAAATTGGGACAGAGGGAGTGCAATTTATAGCTATAATTAGAATTTTATAGCAATTTTCTCTCTTCCTTTCTTCCTCTCTTCTCTTCTCTCTCTGCGCACTTGCTTGCCTCTCTCCCTATCCTTTCTCTGCCCCCCTCTCTCACCTATCTATGCCCCTCTCTCCCTCTCGCCCCACCTTTATCTCTTAATACAAATATAAATAGTATCAATGATACAATGAACTGTCTACCATAAAAATTCTTTCAAGTGATACAAAATACAAATACACATGACGACAGAAGAATACAAATACACATGACAACAGAAGAATACAAATACATACAAGGCAACAAATACAAATACACATGGCAACAAATGAATACTCTCTTTCAGTGGTGCAAAATACAAATACACATGGCAATAGATGCATACAAATACACATGAATACATATGTAATTTGTTACGAAATACAATAGTGATATAATTGTATTTTGTTGATACACTAGAATTTGATACAACATTGATACAATTTGTTCACTGATACAATTGTATTCATTGATACAAATTATATTCGTTAATACAATTGTATTCATTGATACATATACATACTAGTTACACATATGCAATTATCCAACAAATATACAAATACAATTCACCTCTCTCCCCTCTCTGCTCTTCTCTCACTCGCTTCTCTTCCTTCTAGCAGCTATTTTTGGCACAAATTAATTGTATCAATTGTATACGTGATACAATTATTGATTAGATATACAAATCGATTGTGCCAGATCGCGCTCACCACTTTCTTTCGTCTCCCAATCTTTCTCGCCTTTCTTCTCCTTATAACATATATCCACGAATCATAATCAAGCAAACTATAGATAAAAAAAAACCCGATTATGTTTCTAGTCTTTTGTTTTTGAAAATTCCTCTTATAAAATGTCCCCCGGGGTTTTTCATGGGCTGGGTTAATAGCAGACGTGGCACTCAATGGGCTAACATATCAGTTCCTTTCCTGACGGCCCAGTTAAAACCTTTTTGCTAAAGCTGACAAGAGAACACGTGCCCTATCACGTGCATACTATTGAAGATGATTAAAAAAAAAAAAAAACAGAATTTCAAGTGAAGGCAAAAAAATAAATCAATTTTGAGATTAATCACTCTGCAGAACCCGCGAATTTACGAGAAGGAAGGTATGTGACTTATGAACTTCTCTAATCTTTGCTTTGTAAATCCTTTAATATTCATCTAATAGCTGATACTTATTGAGTAACTAGGCAATTTCCTTATAGTTTTCTTGATCTTGTAGTTTTTTTAATAGTTAAAATTGATCATTTCTTCGTTGTGCTTGATTTGTTTTACTAATTATTGAGATGGGTGTTGAAAAGTTCCATTTTTAAGTGTTCGCGAGTTAAAATTTTTCTAATTTGGATCAGGGGTTTCTCAAATGATGCGAATCTTGAGTGGAAATGATTTCTTTTTCTTTTCTTGGAATGATTGATTTTACGGTTTATTTGAATTAATTGTTGTAGTTGGGTGTGTTAATAGTACTGTAATGGATGAGAAATCTCTATTTTCCACTGTTTATAGTTGGGTGGTAGTATTTGGTGGATGTGAGGATAGTGTATTGGTGATAAATTTGGGTGTTAAATGTTGACAAGGTAAATAATATGGAGTATGATTTGAGGTATTTGTTAAGGAAAATGGCTGAATTGGTGTAAAATATCTTCAAACACATTTCCAAGAATCAAAGGTAATACACAAGAGGGAATGGTTTCCCATATGTTGTTTTGCTGTATCTTATTATCTCTTTCCCTTAGATAGTTATTGAAGTCACACTCACACATTTGCTGTTTACTTTTAATGTATACTAGCTGCACATTTGTGACATGTTATACAACTTTTTCACGTAAGAATTGCTTTGTACTCCCATACCCAATCAACGTCCTAATTAGGTGCACTTATGAAAGCTGATCTCAGAAGCAATATAGTTTTAACACCATGGAGTTTTCAGTATATGTGAACAATCACTTTTTAGCTTTAACTGTAGTGGGAGCATCTGTACTCTCACATCCTTTAAACTTTATAGTTTCTTTCAGTTCTTCTGGTTTCAATGAGGATATGTTTACCAGAGATTTATTAATCGTGTATTCATCTGTGTTATTAAGTGTCATGGCTCGTCCCTTAAAGCCATGAAGTGATGCGAACTAGGTGTATCACTCTACGGACTTCTGATGAGTGAGACTGGAAATCCCAACGAGAAGTGGTCAATTCTTTGAATCTTACTTTAAAAGATGAGAAAATAGAAGAGGAAAAATGACATTTTGCTATTTGAATAGTAGGGTTCATTGCCATGTATGTTTCAACGTTCTCGTTATTGTTATTGTGCTCTTTTTATTCTTCTTCTTCTCGAGTTTGTAATGCCCATCCATCTATTTTGTCAGTTGTAAGTAATGTCTATCCATCTACTACTTATGCTTTTGTAGTTCTTTGGTTTCCGTTCTTTCTTCTTCATTTTCTTCAAATAAAGGACTCTTTTTCTTCTAGTATGCAAGTCCTTTGTCTCTGGTATCTTTTAATTCTGGGCTTCTCTTTTGCCTATCTCCTCTATTCTCATAGTACAATTACTAAAGTAACCAAATATGACATTGGGTGCTGCAAATTAATTTACTTAATGGTTGATTAATTGTAAATGAAAATTTGTTTAATGATTGGAGTTATCTTTTGATGGGCTTGTTGAATTATATTTGAATGATGTTTCTGCGGAGTTGGATTAATATTATCATTACTGTATATTGGATGCTGATATCAGTAATAACAATCGTGATTTGATTATTGTATGTACTAAAACCATCTGTTTTTACTTTTTAGTACTTCTTTATTTTCGATAAACTGTGCACTTACTTCAAAGAAGCGTGTGTTTCACTTATTGCCTTTTTACCTCTTGAGTTTCATGCATCTTCACATTTTTTTTCGCTTAAAAATATTGGTATTGGTTCATTTTCAGGTTAAAAAACGGGTTAGTCTAATGGATGCTGACACAGTGAATAATGCATCTACTTCCACCAAAGGTGTTAACACCAATGAAGTGGAGGCAGAATCAAATACAGTAGACTCTCTAGAAGTTTTGTCTTCCAGTGGTAATGTCATGCAAGAAGTAGGAAGTGTCGGGGAGATTTTAACAAGGCTTGAACTAGACTTGGCATGTGTCTCTGAGAAACTAGTTAATTTGGATTTATTTGTGATGCATGTGGAAACAAGAGAAAGTGACTTTGAGGCTTTTGCCTCTGAGAAGGAGGGCACTTCAAATGACATTGTTGAGAAGGCAATAGAGTTTGATCTCTTATCTGGGGTCCTGGATTCAGAGGTGACGGAGCTAGGCGGTTTATTATCCTCTGTTGCAATAGAGATTGACAATGTGCGGAAGGTCATATCTTCACGTGGCTATGTGGATGAGGCTTTCATTTTAATAGAAGAGAAGTTACATGACAGTGAAAAATCCCTCAAGCAGTCGCAGGACCACCTTTTAGAATTGAGGGTGCAGTGTACCAACTTCCATGGGATTATGCTCACCTCCCAGGGGGACCAAAATTGTGAGTTTATTTTTTATTTTATGTTAATTTTGAAGGGAGGGTTTCTTTACAACATCCTGCTATCATTAAAAAAAATTCTTTACATCCTGCATAATGCTGAATAGCTTTTGAAGCTTCAGTTAAAGAAATCTTGGGTTATGCTGCTCAAAATCCACTGTGGTCAGTCCATTTCAAAGCAATCAAAGATGGACATCAGCAGAACCAATGCAAAGTGAATGGATCAGTCGAACTAAGATTCTACTTAGATGTTCATGCATCATGAGTGCACGTTTATTATCATATTTGCCATCATTATCATTATTATTATTATTATTATTTTATTTTTTTTTATTTTTTTTGATGAACCTCCCGAGCCCGTCGCCACGACAGGTACCAGAGTAACTTTGTCCACCAAGGTTAGAACGGATGAGAAGAAATCACCTAGAGTTTTTTGTCTTTGGGACTTGAAGTTTGAACCTGTGACCTCAAGGTGCTCAATTCACTTCATTGACCACTAAGCGACACCCAAGTGGATGCATGTTAATTTCATGTTGAGCAGTATTTAGTGTTTTATGCTCTATGTAATTTACTTATCCCAGCAACCTTCTCCATGCCAACTGACCACCCCTTTGGATAATATATGAAAAAAGGAAGAGAGAGGAGAAAAGAAGAATGTCTGCAAATATTTAATGATTTTATTTCTTTTAGCCCTGCATATCTGGACCAGGAAATGTGAATTGCTTCTCTCTGCACGAGGCATTTTGTTGCTATTATGTTCTTGACAACAAGTAATTTGTGTGACATCAATCATCCTTATTAATCATACTTCATGCTGATGCATCTTGACAGGGGAAGATAGCGAGGCAGCAGACTATTTTAACGGTGATGCACTTTTAACTCCAAAGATGAAGATAAAAATGCAGACTGTTGAACAGCAGAGACACATTCTGCGGATGCTGGAGAAGTCTTTGGCCAGAGAGTTAGATCTTGAGAAGAAGCTTACTGAATCTAGACAAGTTGAAGAAGAATTAGAAGTCAGGTTGCAGCAAGAAGCTTTATACATGGAGGAAGAAATTGAAGATGCTTCGCAAAGGTTGTTTGAGGGAGAGAATGCTGCTGAAGTCCTTTTAGGAATTTCAAAATCACTACTGGGTCAACTCCAGATGGCACATTTTAATCTGAATGGTACTGTTCAGAAAGAAAGCTACTTACAGTCTAAACTTCAAGAAATGGAGGAACATTTAAAAGCAAAAGACAACTTACTAGGGAAGTCTGAAAGCACTTCTAAAGAGCTCGGGGACAAGGTTAAATCTCTTGAGAAACGGTTGGAGGACTCTGAGTTCCAGCTGTCCAATTATACAGCATCTGCAAAGAAAAGTCAGGAGTTAGAATCTGAGATCCTTGAAATGGAGGATATAATCAATACGTTGAAGGAAAAGAATTCTGAAGCAGAAAGAAGAATTGATACAGCAGAAACTGAGTGTAAAATATTGAAAGAAGCAAATGTGGAACTTGACAAAGAGCTGAACTTCCTGAAAAGCAGTAGTAGCATTACTTCTGAGAGGATAAATGTGCTTGAAAAACAGCTGAGGGACTCTGAGCTTCGACTTCAGCATGCAGTTGCATCTGCTGAAGCTAGTCAGGAGAAGCAAATCATGTTGAATTCTACAATCCAAGACATGGAAGATTTGATTGAGGATCTAAAATCAAAGGTTTCTAAAGCCGAAAGTTTGATGGAGAGTGCTGAAGATAAGTGCATTATCTTGTCAGAATCTAACTCAGATCTCAATGAAGAATTAACTTTTGTGAGGGGTAGGTTGGCATGTTTGGAGTCATCGTTACGCCAAGCTGAGGAAATGAAGAAGGCTGCTGCCCGAGATATTAACTTCCGCAGTAAATTGATAACAGATCTAATTTTGCAATTGGCTCTTGAAAGAGAGAGACTTGAAAAACAGGTTTGTCACTCCTTACTGACTCTCATTCCTGTTATGACTGGAATTATCTTGATAACATTTACGACTTTCCTTTTCCTCCATCTATCCAGTTATTTTGAGTTTTTTTGTCTATTGACATGGTTAATGGGCTTAAATGCCAATTGATGACTGTGCATAATTGAATACCAGTTACTAATCTGAAACAGCCTAGAATTATGCCTAACAATGAGATGGCATTTGGATAACACAACATTTTATGTCAATTTTTTTTTAAATTATTATTCATAGACTTTGGTGGAACCTTAGCAGCATCATAAATTTAATGACTTCTAAAATGCAGTTGTTGTGTGTGCAAGCTTGTCTGTATAATTGATGCATTTTGTCTTTTTCCTTTTTACTTGTTTCAGCAGCAATATCTGTTCATTCGGTCGAGTTTGACATTTTCTCGCTCTGGATTTAGTCAACTTTTCAGAGTTCGTGACCATTAGATCACACTGTAATCATTAGAAGTATTTCTTACTGATAATATATATGCATAGACGCGCACACAGACCCCATGCACACATATTCTTGTTTGACAAAGAAGTGTTTTAAACATCAGGTATTCTCGAGTTTCCAATGATATCTACCGGCTCACATATTAAGGTTCTATCCTTCCTATAACACTAACACTTGTACTACCAGTGACTCCTTTCACTGAGAAAAAGCAGTCATGGTCAAAGGAAAGGAATGAAAATGGGCTGAAGTAGAGCAAGTTTGTGCACACCTGAAAGTTTTAATGGTGTTTGTTGATAATTACTACAGCAACCTTTCGTTGCAACGTTTGCTCTTATTGCAGGAAGAAATTAGCTGAAAAGGAAGAGTTGAAAGAGCTATACAAGACGATTTTGACCATTATTAATAAGATTTGCTCGATATTAAAATTAGTTAGTCAGTCTTTCAAAATAGTTAGTTTTTATAAGTAGAATCTGCGATGTGCTTAGCTTGTGACAAGTTATTCAGTTTCCAGCTTGTCCTTTTGTGGTTAAAGTTGGTTATTCTTTTCCTGCATGACTTCTTCATGGAAGAGAGTTCCTTTGGACTAAATGTTAGAACAAGGGCATTGTTTGAAGACTATTATTATTGGGTAATTGCATAATTTTCTCATTCAGATTAGTGTTTTTCTGCAAAAAATGTTCAGATTGCTTTGCTGATAATGGAAAATAAGGCCCAGAAGAAGCTTTTTCAGCAAAAGGATAAAGTTCCTTCGCCAGCTCCCCCAAGTGATGGCAAAGATACCAGGGAATCCATGCTTCCCAAGGCTGAGCTTTCTGCTGCAACTTCTCCGAATGAATGCAAGGAAGAAATATCTAAGTTCTCATCAATAACTAATGTGGTACGTGCTTTATTCCGTCTTATGCTTAGTTTTATACACGAGTCATATGTTCTTCTGGTTTTGTCAGTATTTTGATTTACTATTTTAGATGCCAGTCAACTATTATATTTTGATGATGTACATTCCATTATCAACCAAATAACCTTAGCTGTGTGCTTGTGCCTTTAAGTGAAAAAAATTCTTGAGTACTTCGTGTTTACCCAAAGCTAAAGTTATTTGGTTGACAACTTAGAATAGGAAAGACACCTAGCTCTGTTGTGACACTACTGTTTCTGCTGTTCATTTTCAGGAAGAGAATGTTTCTGGAGATTTTATGTCGAGTCAGTCAAAAGAGACTGATTCTTCAACCAGACTTGATGCCTCGCGGGACATAGATGCAAGGCAGCTTAATTGGAAGTATGTCCTTACAGCAGTTCTTGTGTTTTTGATATCCACAGTGGTAACCTTTTTAATGCAGAACCAGAGTATCCAGCTTTGATAGTACTCGAGATTTTTGTTATTCGATCAAGAGACCCTCGGCATTAGGCACTCCTCAGAAATCTTTAGGCCTACCTTCATCGTGTACTCCCTTACTGTTTGTCACCAGTAGATATCACTGTGTAGAGTGATGTCTTTGCGCATCTAGTTCATGGTGATGAGTATTAACTTTGGAGCCCGGAAGAGAAGAGGAAACGATCCCCCACCCACCCTCTTTGTGACTAAATAGCAGTTTCTTACACATGCATAGTTTTGCCATTCAGATTTTGTCTGCTTTACAAATTAGTGTTCAGTAGAAGTTTGGAAGTACAAACAGTGGCTCAGCCATTCAACAGAAGAATACAGAAAACCTACACATTTGAAGGCTACTTGTTCCTCTCTTTCTTGTTTATTGCCAAGTGCTTTAAGATCATTTCTCTATGTAGTTAATCAACTTAGGGCTTGTTTTGTACGTGGAATGTGATAGATAAGGATATTTCATGGGTTGCGATATTCCACCTTCTACTTCATGCACATTCTGAAGCATTTTATAAAAATGAATAAAGCAATGTTGCATCATTATAATCAGCAAAACAACTAGAGAAGTATCAGTGCATCAATTACCTTTTTTGGTTCAAACATTGATAACATATGCAAACAGCAAACATTAAGATGCCGGAGTACGCGCATAATACGATTTTATTCACTTGTGTATACTAGCACTCATTTTGTAATTACTATATGGCTACTCAGGTTTGATTTGACGTGAAATTCAAAAATAAAAAGGATTTTAAATTTAGGGTGTGTTCAAGTTTTTATGAAAATAAGTGTGTTTATGCTTCTTCTTGTAATATCAATTTAATATTAATATTTATTTTGATTGTTACTTAAATTTTATTGTATCGTATTATTAAATTCATTATTAAGTAATGATAAAAAGTTTCATTTTCGTGTAAATGATCAACTTGATGTGATTTTTTTTATCGTTATCATATTTTTTTGCTTCTAATTTTGTTTTTATTAATTGCTAATAATTCTATTTTATTATTTATCTTGTCTTTTAATAGTAGCTCTATTTTGTAACTTTTTTTTTTTTTTTTTTGAAATCTTATCTTGCAAATTATTTAATGTGTTGCTCATCAGGTGGCACATTTTCTTTTTTATTCCCATATAATATAAATATCTAAGGATGTAACCAATTCATTAAATAATGTGAGTAACAATGATGACGTATGATATTTTTTCAGCGACGAAAGAGAAATTAATTTGCTAGTTGTCTACCACCCGAAGTCACCGAAAAAGATTGTGAAACCAGCAAAATTGGATCAATGGCAACTCCCATTTTTCTCTAAAGTTTGAAGTTTGAATCATCATTTTGTTTCTTCAGTTCAATGGCGGAAGTTTCTGGAATACACCGTTTCCACCTCCCGCAAACCATCTATGCTACCGTCACTGATGATGATGATGATGAAGAGTACTCACATCCGTTTGCTTTCGATTTCGACTCCCTTTCTCCTCCTAATCACACCCTTTTTATCCACTCTCATGATTTCAACTACAGCCCCAATTCGGAACCCGAACCCGGTTCCCTAGATTCAGATTCGGGTTCGGATCACTCGGGTTTGCTTGCAGATCCGGATTCCTTTATCGTTGATGATGACCAAATGAATTTTGTTACGGATCTGTTTGTGACCCCTGATGGAAACGTTTCAGAAGATTCGGGTTTTGATAATGGGAATAGGGTTGTTCTAGAGGATGTATACGGTGATTTTGGATCTGATTTTGATGGGGTTCTTCTGCCCTCAGATTCCAACGGGATTGAAACGGGTGATGGGATTCGGGTTGTGGGTATTGGGTCGGACTCTGATTCGCAAGAAGTGGAGCTGAATGTTGGGGATATTGATCAGGCCAATGATTTTTGGAGTTGTCTTCGGATTGATGATCAGAGGGATGTGAATGACGAGTTTGAGTGGGAAGAAGTCAATGAAAGGGGTGAAGATAGAGACTATTTGAGTTCTGTAATTGATGGAATTGAAGAAATATCAGTTTCTTCAGATATTTCATCTTCTGAAGGAGGGAACTCGAATTCGGGTTCAGTTGATGAGCCGGTGAGGAGTTTAGAGTGGGAAGTTCTGTTGGCCGTTGATAATATTGAAAGAAGCCTCGAACTTGATGGAAATGATGATGGGATTGCTCATGTAAACGAAACTGATCACGATGCCGTGTTTGGGCAATTTCTGGAGAGTGAAGGGACTTTGAAGGGTAGTCCACCAACAGCTAAATCTGTTATTGAAAATCTTCCTTCGGTGGCTTTGAAGGACGAAGTGAACAAGATAGCCTGTGCTGTTTGTAAAGATGAGATTTTGGTTGTGGAGAAGGTGACTGAGCTTCCTTGTTCCCATTATTACCATTGGGAATGTATTATACCATGGTTAAACATACGTAATACATGCCCTGTTTGTCGTCATGAGTTACCCACGGATGATACTGATTATGAGAGGAGAAAAATTGGAAGGCGTACCGGTGCTGGAGCTCAACTCATTAGTGACTTTCAGGTTAGATACAATTTTGAAATTGTCCCTTGAGACTTTTTCTTGTTCATACACAGATATCATAGGATGTGCATATTCCCTTAGTGGTGAGTATGTTGATTCTTTTTATAGACTGTTGCTTTCTTTAATTTTTTGGGTACAATGTATGTTTGTAAGAGTTCCAGTTTGTATGACAGTATGAAATTTATACTTGCTGTAATTGTACCATTAGGCAGTGAGACAATGTAAAAGGATTATTGAGTCATTAATACTACTATAGACTATAGAGATTGATGAATGTTTGAAACAATTTGGGTGCATTTTGACTTTTGATTTTATGTTACCAATAATTTGTTCATATTGTATTAGAAGCAAGATTTAATCTTTCTCAGTTCTCTTTGATATATTTGAGCCAATACTATTGAAAAGAAACGAAAGGAATCATCAATCGTCACCCTGTCTAGTGAACTGGTGGTTTCTCTGTTATCGTGCATTATTACGTGGGTCTGTTCTAGCCTCAACTCAACTTGTATGGTGAATTGGTGCTTATGATGCAATTTGCTAAGATGAACGGCAGCCAAGGACGGAGCTGATGGGAGGGGCAAGGGGGTTCAATTGAGTTGTGGAAAACATTTCTGTACAAATAAGGCAAAAAAAGATATTTTGGGGCTCTATATGAATTGTTGAACCCCTTATGTTACATCAAATGAAGATTCTAGTGAAGTGGTAAAATGGGGTTCAAGAATTTCTTTAGGTCGTACATTCAAATCCTAGGCGTGAGTTGTGACGCTCCAGTAGTTTTTGAATTCCCTTATATAAAGCCACTGACAGTAGCAGCCTGTGAATTGCTTATAGTTCTGTGAATAAAACCATGCTATACAACACAAAAAAGGATAACAGAGGATAATATTGAAGCGGTGCAGGATATGATAAAATTTAGAGAAACACTAGTCCTTATTTGTTTCAACTAAGGATAAAATAATCATGTTGAAGGATGATGTTTAGTCTTTGCTTTTAGTCTGATCCATGCTGGCCTTTAAGGTATTAAAGATGGCCAAATAATGAGTTGGAATATCTGGGTTTGTTTTAGTATGTGGTTTGTTGAATAATCCCTAATAGATGGATGCAACAGATCCAGATCCAGATCCTGAGAGCATAGTTAATCAATATTGGGGTCTTATATTATGTTGTTCATCCTTGAGCATGTGAGGGTGTTAGATTTTCCCATGTTGATTGAGGGAATGGATTCTTATCTCTGTAAGTTATCTGGCAATCGTCACCTCATTAGCTATCTTTTAGAGCTTAGTTAAGCCCAATGGTGTATCTTCTTAACAGCATCTCACTTACAAGGATAATGCTAATCCAAACATCCCACAAAAATCACTACACACAGAGAAGATGTGAAGCCTGTAGGAAGAGACTACTGCGGGGAATATTGAACATTGCGTGCCACTTTATTCAGAGCTGCTACCTCCAACTACTAATGATTATTTTTTTGGATGATCTCATTAAAAACATCACAAAGATGGAAATTGTACAAAAGAGTGAGCACTAAACAAAAAAGCTAGGCCAAGACTAAAGAGCTGATAAAATCCAAAAGATAGCAAAAAATCCTGATGCAATGGGGCATTATTGGGAAAAGGGTAAGAAATACGCCTCAACTTTGTTTTATTAGTTGACTTTACCCTTACCGTTAAAACAGAGTTATTTTTACCCCTGCCGTTACTAATTTCACCATATGTACCCTTTAATTGACGGAAAGCCCCAAATTGACTCAATTAACCCGAATTTTAAAAAAAGACCCATTCCCCATATTAAACCCAATGCTAACCTAAAACCCATTACACTAAGAGAGCATAAGATTTCATTCCTTCTGAGTAATCAACTGCCGAAATAAGCCTCGAAGCTCCAACGTCGGCGCAAAATCGCCAAAATCATCCACCACATCATCAGACTCAGCATCTGCAAAACAGCACACCTTAGCCCTTACCATCAATCTCAATATGGCCATCTTCGTCCCTGCACAACCTCCCACCCATCGGATAAAACGACAGCCTCACACCCATCGGATTAAACGGCAGTAGGGCTTTGCTTAGTACCTCCTTAAGCACCTTTCCGTCAAAAAAAAATTGGGGATCCTGTTGGGCTATAGAAATAAACACTAGTGTGGAAATTAGGCACCACCAAATCCACAGTAGAGTTCCACAACCTCAGTTGTGGTGTCTCCGTCACCGGCTACACCATCGTCGATTTTCCCATAGAATTCCACAACCTCAGTTGCGGGTCTCCGTCACCGGCTACACCATCGTCGATTTTCCCACCTCGATCTTTATTGTTGATCAATCAACTCTGTTTCTGAAATGGAAAACACACAAAAAATTCTCTAAAATTACGATCGAAATTACAAATTATTTATTTTCAGTTACCCACTATGAATGTGATATGCTACCAACTTTCATTGTTAAGTGTTAACTATCCATTAGCATCATAAAATGAAATTAACTCAATAGAAAATGACTTACCTTGTGAGAAGAGAAGGAGCATGATATTGTAGTTGAGCTTTTTTGCCTCTTAAGTTAGGGGTGATAACTGATAAGAGGGTGTTTCAACCGAAGAAGGAGATGAAGAAATGGGTTTAGGGTCTTAATTTGGTATAGTGTTTCAATTGATT